TCATTTTAGGAATTTCAAATCTTAGAAATATGCCAATTGCTGTGTTCATAATTATGTAAATATATAAATAAATAAAATAAAATGTTTGGTTTGGGGCGCGATATACTAGTATCTAACATAGAGGGCGTCCTACTGCCAAATCAGCTGCGGCCCTGGCCTCGATCATAAAGGGATTTTTCTTTAGCTTTCTTTTCATAAATACTCAACTGAACGATCATGGTATATCCATAATTCGCCCTTTACGAAGGGTTTAGTGTTTTTTCAACAGGTTTAGTCTTTTTCAACAGGTTTAGTCTTTTTCAATAGGTTTAGTGTTTTTCAACTGGTTTAGTGTTTTCCGGGGTTTCCACTCAACGTAAATTTTTGCCGTACGCAGTGGTTTTCCGAGTCGCAAAATAAAATAAATTAAAATGTCTTTGTTCCACTAGAAAGCCAAAGCCATACCCCTCATACTGCCTAATATCAATCTTAGCCCTATTTCAAATGTTTGGACGTTAATACCAGAGTAAAAACTAGCAAAAATTCGAGACGAAGGCAGGCAGACAAAAATCCAGGAACATTCATTCAGTACTCTATATAGCGGTGAATTTGACGCTTTGTGTTAGAAATTGCGGTCTGAATCTGTAGAACTATGTAGAAATTAATTTCAAGATAAACGCAAAAAAAACGTCCAAGGTGAATGAATCTTAAACTAGGCTTAACAATCTTGAAAGATATGTTATAATCATTGAAACATGTCTGCCAAGCGACCAGCTACTAAATAATGCCTTCTAATGTCGGAGCTAAATGAAATGCGTTTTGAAATCTCGGAACGACCCTTCCCGCGAAAGTGACGTAGTAAGGAGGGTCGATACTAATGATAATGTTACACAGTAATTTTCTGAAACTTTCTACAGTAGCAGAACTAAGTTTAGAGTATTCAAGAAAAAAAAATGTATGATCACTGGTCAAGTTTTGGAGATGTGGCGCCCTCTAGTGTCAATAAGTTGCCTAAAACTGAGCAATTCATGACATAGACTAAACTAACTCCTAAATATCAGAAAAATAATATTTTTTTTCTCAAATGCGACTTCAATATCTGGTGAATCAGTCAGTTTATCAGAAAAGTATAATCAAAGCTCTGTATAGCGAAATGATACTGAATTATGCTAAATTATCTGCATTTTTGGAGATGATTGCAATTTAAAATTTTGTGTTGCTATGGCAACCACATTTTAAAAGTTAAGAATGTGTCAAATTTAATGCCATGTAAATATTAAAGGTAACACTATACATACTATTTTAGTCATGGCCTATCTTTGTTGAGGTGAAAGGGAACGGAGCAGTTTAATACCACATCTAATCTGTTATTGCATTACAATAATACCACGGTGGAAGGGGAGGTGCATCAGTCAAGACAACTGTACATGGCACCTTCCCTAGTTATGTGATCACTTTCGATCAATCTAGGGTGGGGTGTTTTATTTACCTTCTATATCCAGTGTGTTATGTGATCAAATTATGATCAATTCAAAGTAGGTGTGTTGGGTAGGGTATGCTTTATTTACCTGCTACATCCTGTGTGTTATGTGATCAGGTTATGACTAATCTAGGGTAGGTGAATTGGGGTAGGGAGAGGGGCCGTTTTCATTTACTCCTATCATACAGAAGAATGAAGATAGCAAGTAATGGAAAAATTAAATAAATACAAAAAAATTATTTTCAAGGTAAACATAAATGCATGTACATATACATTTTAGTTGTTTTCTATTAGAGACATGATTCTGATAGACTAGTAAACAATAAATGTGTAATACATGTATATTATAAGATCATTCTGCTCAATATACTCAAATAAAATACAATATATATATCCCTGAAAGGTGTTACATAGGGTACATTTGCAGTGTCAAATCATATTTGATCACAGTGTATTAATAGGACAGTCACTAAAAATTACTTTTGATCAGCTTGATTCAAAATATGTAGTGACAGAGTTTATAATCCTATTTTATCTTGTTACTCTAGCCTTTTCATTATGTAATTCTGTGAAAAGTGAACGTATACCATCAGCACCTCTTCTTTGAAATGCAATACGCAAATGCTGATGTTGAAGACCAGATGATGCAATTTTGTCAGCCATGGATTTTGACATTGTACAAGATTCAATCATAGGATTCAATGTTGACAGGTTAGACTTTTTCTTGTCCAGAAAGTGTCTATTGTGAAAGAGTGAATTAAACTATTACTGTGATTAGATTGCAAAAACAGTTCTTGTAATGCTATGACATCATTCTGTGCATTATGTGCCTCATAGGTTTTGTAAAGAATATCATGAACAAGACATTCCTGTTTATTAGATGATCTGCCAGGATATACATGTTTAAAATGAGGAAGCGTGTCTAGAAATCCTGCACAACAGGTCTGAAACTCCTCAACTAAGTTACAGCGTTGTAAAGACCTAATAAGTAAACGACTGTCAAATAAATACCCATTATGACTAACTAAAACAACATTTGGAATTAATTTCAACCATAAAAGGAAATTTGAGAGCCCCTCTCTCAAAGGCACTGAATTAACTTCTTTACCACCATAAAACATTTTGCCAGTATTTTGATTAACTGAAATTTTTGTTGCCAATTCTGCACCAAAAGACATAGATTTTGAAGGAAATGTGTATGCATTGAAGCAATTGTCTCCATGCACAGCTGCTATCTGCACATTATCTGCTTGTGTATCTGAAATAAGAAAAAATAGAAATTAGCGGTAGGTAAATAAATGTACATGTTTGGGCAACATTAAACTTGTACTTTCCTTCTTTAAGCCTGATGCGTATTCGTTTGACTTCTCTTGATGATTGTCTTTTTTATGCTTTCTTATTTTATCTAACTTGAGGCCCTGCGTCATAGTATGGCGTCCTGGAGATAGGCCTAAGCTTTTGTTAACCTGTGAATGGTATAATAAAATAACATTAGACCATAAATATATTAGTTATTATTGAGTGAAAAGACAAGTTGGTATATTGACCAATTTTAAGTGTTGTTTTCATGGTAACCAGCTATAATTGGTTGGGTTTGCAATGGTGCTTACTTGAATGATTAATGGAGTTCTTGTAACAGTATCATTGTAAGTATTATTAATAAGACATTGGTCATGTTTGATATTTTGATGAGTGAACAGTTCCATCACCATAGCAAAGGATAAATGAAAAGTAGGGGTACACAAACATGTTTCTATGCAAATATTGACTTTGTTTTTACCAAAATACATAACATTTGCTTGTTTCAAATCTGGTTCATGCATTTTATATATTTTTCGTTTCAAAAATATGATATTAATGACCATCCTTAATAGTTCAAATTGATTAAAGGAACAATATTTTATTTTTTATTTGGCAATATTAAGAAAATTTACTAAAAATAATAATAATTTATTCAGTTATTGTTCAACACTAAATTTAATTTCACCAAAGTCTAGAGGGAAAGCAATATACTGACCTACCAATTAATTAAACAATAATGAACGACCCGCCAACCCATAATAGGCGAAAGCTCAGTTTATGCGACATATATAACAAATATGCTTGAGTCCACTATGGGTTGGCGGGGAGTTCATAACTTATTATTTTGTAGCGGTGTCAATACCGCTGGATTTGCTGCCTCTAAAAAGCGGAAAATTTGGAGAAAAATCTACAGTGAACGGACTAGTTTCACAGTCATTGGCCCGTGAATCTGGATAATTTAAAATGACTTTCTGGAACTTGTTTCCATAATCTCATATGGAAAACTAAGAAAGAGATATTACTGTATTGAACTCAATTACATTGCGTGTGAGTGAATGAGTGACTGATGTGTGGTGTGGTGTGGAGTAGCATTGCAGTGATCGCCCGAGCGAACGGCACACCGTGACTGGTACGCCGTATCGGTGTCCGCCATGGCCTTGCACTACGCTACGCTAGATCGCCGCCGTGGTCCAGCTGGATCGACTGTGCGTAGGGGTGCGTATCCGGGGTACATGTACGTAGTTGCATCGTTACCCCATCCCACTAGTGTTTTCAAACCATCAAGGTAGATGTTATTGGCAACTGTCCTGTCTGTGTAATAGTTATTTTAAATTCCACAGAAGGGCGGTGATTAAGAAAACTTTGAAGCCAAACGAAACTTACAGGCGTAGCGAGCGAACGAGCATAGCTGGAAAGTTAGTGGGTGTAAGCCATCTTAGAAAGAGAACCAACAGTGATTTTAATCTGACTGTATGAATAAAAAAATACACACCCGAAAAAACGGATACTGTGGGGGAAGGGAAGGTTAGGATCTTCTCAGTCACGAAAGTGAAAACTGAAACGGACACGTCATGTAAACTAGAACTCAATCTCGTTTATTCTTCAACCACAACGTAATACCGATGTTAACTCGTAATGCTTAGTTCACAACAACGGTGCTTTGATGGCGCTTTGACGGCGCTTTAAAGCAGCGTGCAAAGCGGCACCAAAGCGTAACAAAGCTTGATTAAAGCGTCAGGGTCGTAAT